ACCAGTTATATTCAAATTACTGTTCACGTAACAGTTCAATTTTGGGTCCGCATCGTTGTCTGCGTTGCAGTCATGTTGATTTCGTTAAAAAATCAAATCCAACGGTTGGGAAATAATAAAAAAAAACTAAACACTTAAGCATTGATATTAAACTTCAGTATAAAATCAATATACACACGTTGTAAGAAAATATGAAATACACTTGTAATCGTTAAGAAACCGGAGAAAAGCTCGGCGAGCCTGACTTTTCTTTCTGTTTCTAAAGCTGGTATAAATAAATAAATTATATATTTTCCTACAACATGGAAATATTGTGTCTGTAATTTTTGCACTTTTAAGATAAACTGTGGTTCGGTTTATAAAGATGGTAGAAGCACCGATGTCTATTTTTTTATTCCTATCTTGTGTATAACTGAATAAATCATTGATGAGTTGATTTTTGTTCTGATTTTAAGTTGAAAATAGTCTTTGTATATTCTTACATGTATATAGTGATAGAGAGCATGCTTTTCCTATCATGATTTTTTTTTAAAGAGGATTGCTGGGTACAGAGAAGCTATTTACCCAGTGTTACAAGTGGTAAAGAGGAAAACATCCCTTCAAACAATTACGGTCGCAGTCATGAGTTGGCTGATGACGACGGGTCTGTTTTTATGGTCGTAATGACAACCGTCCTCTTTTTCTTATATATTACCTACCGAATTAGATTTTTTAACGAGTGTGTACCTACATGAGGAACACGACAAGGCAAGATTTGGGCCCTTTTTTGAAAATTCGAATTCCTTGTGGCAGTAAAAATTTCCTAATCTGCTAGAAAATTCGACCTCTAAATGCAACAAATATGTTGTCAATGATAAACTCCAGCATACTGATGTCTTGTTCTTCGGTGTAGTATGTTTTATTTTCGGGCTCATATTTTACAAAACAAGCAAAATTATGTTCCAACACAATTGATTTGTAGCGTATGGTACCTTTTTGAATGGCGGAAAGCATTGTGGATTATTTCTTTAAGACAGGGTTTTAATGTTTCATGTGGTAAGGTGAGGTGTAGAGTGGAAAAAGTAAAGGTTTTGATAGAATTTGGTTCAGAGAATGATATTTTACATTTTCTCGAAGTTCTTAAGATTCTAACTTGGACGAATTAACTAACATCTCAAACATAGACGAAGTAACTCACCCTTCCAAATGAAAATAAACTATTAATATGTGCGTTTGAAGCACTTTTCTTGATTTATTTTTTTCAGATTCACTCAAACCCATACATGTGAAGGCCAAGGATCAGATCTTAACACATGAAAAAATATATGACCAAAAGGGATCTAAAAATATAGCCAAAGTAATGTACGGTCAACTTTGTCTGAGGCAGTTGGAACCTTATTTTCTAAATAAATTTTTTTATTTATGACCGGAAAATTAAAGAAAATTTGGTTGAAATTCATGTCAATTACGATGCGCTGACTACCGATTTGATGATATCCTCGGGGTATCGACCCAGTGATAGTATAGGAAAATAACATTATTAATTTGATGCGTCCGTAACGCATTTCTGGCTTTATGTTCATCAGGAACGCTGAAACCGAAACATGTGGAAGTTCACTTAGACATTTCAACAATTTTCCTTTTATCAATTTATACGATAAAAAAATTAAGACTTAGATATAAGAAGATGTGGTATGAGTGCCAATGAGACAACTCTCCATCCAAGTCAAAATTTATAAAAGTAAACCATTATAGGTCAAAGTACGGTCTTCAACATGGAGCCTTGGCTTACACCGAACAGCAAGCTATATAGGGCCCCAAACATTACTAGTGTAAAACCATTCAAACGGGAAAATCAACGGTCTAATCTATATAAAAAACGAAAAACGAGAAACACTTATGAACCACATCAACAAACGACAACTACTGAACATCAGATTCCTTATTAAGGACAGTTGCAAACAATTGCAGCGGGTTTAAACGTTTAAATGGTACCAAACCTTCACCCTTATCTGAAACAATAGTGTAACATCACAACAAAGAAAGACACACTATAAAATATCAATTGAAATAGCTTATCTCAATCAAAAGACATATTAACACCAGAAAACATACACAGAACAAATAAATTTATACTATGATACAAGGTAAATACAAAATAAATAAACTAAATGAAGAATAATTAAAGTTACATGTTATACCGCTGTGAAATGTTAAACAATTTAAGACTATCGAAATACTATAAAATACAAATATAAATTACATTTGAGTAAACTGGAATATACTGGACACAACAAATTAATTTGTTGTGTAATGTCTACTTGATTGATGCCACAATTAGCATAAATACATCTCAATAATAGCTAAATCAAGACTAAAGTTAAATTTGGATCATGACAAAAGAAACATGGTTTATCTCTAAAAAAAAACGGATCGCATTTTGTGCTGTAAAATTGATATGGTTAAAAGTAACATTTACAGATTAGAGATTAGATACATGTTTTTGATATATAAACATTACATATGAATTTGGATGAGTAATTCTAACGTTTTAATACATTTTATAATAAATGATTATTAAAATGAGCGTATAAATATTCCTAGAAGTAAACGTCTATATCTTTATTATGATGACTTATAACAGCTATCAACCATATTTCTTTTCAAAAGATCTTACGACATAGACTACTAAGTACATGGCAGTTGTCTTCCGTGTGGGATAGTAATCTATCGCATTAGACAATTGTTTTAATTTGCTATCTACTACTCCTTGTTAGGAATTATATTATTTACTGAGAAGCATTCAAAGATGATTTAAGAATATATATAACATGCATGGGAGACAACTTATATAAAATACAGTCTCATTAAAACTACATATAGGTTAACAACATTGTTCACTTCATGTCTTGACGGGTAAATTCTATCCTCCATTGTTTTTACTGCAATTGACAGGGATTTTCTAATACGATGCGTCTTCCCTCTGGAAATATGAAAAGAACAACAGAACATAAAAATAAATGGAAAAAGTTCGATTCAATTTCAATAATTACTGTAATAATTATACAAACCGGAGGGTTAACCTTTAAATACATAAAAAGAAGATTAATTATAATTGTTGGTGTTTTACAAACAGACGTAAGTGTATAAGGACGACTTGGAAAAAGGATGCTCTTTGAACGGTTTTCAGTTTGAAATTAGACATACATTGGTTTACAATGTTATTACAAAAAAAAACTTTTCTTTGATATTCAAATGTTCATTATCGAATATTAGAGTCCAACATGACCAAAAATATCTTTAGTAGGCGAACAAATCACTGCTACTATGGTATCAAAATGTTAATTATGATTGTGAAATATCGATTATTAACGGGTATCCTATCTACGGTCTATTGATAGTAAATGTCCGTACATTTCAATACCTGTCTTGTTTATGATTTGCCAGAACATTATCAAAATTAACTTCATTCTAATCGAATTCAGGCATAAAGTTTAATATTGATGATTGAACACAAGGTGTTATTCTTACCGTCATCAATTCGTGTTTCAACATCAGTTTTACACTTTGGACATACGTCAAAACGAACGCTACATTCAGCACACACAATTTTATGACCGCATGGACGGAAAGTTGCGTTGGCAACATTGTCGTTACATGAAATGCAAGGCAAAACTAGCAAGGCAGACAAAAGGGCCAAAAATGGATCACCTGCGGCTGTTGCTCCACTCTGACTTTTCTTTTGTTGCCTGAAACAATAAATAGAGGAGCAAATTGTTATAAATATAAAAATAAAGGAGATGTGGTATGATTGCTAATAAGACAAATATCCACCAAAGTTCAAATGAAGTGGATGTAAGCAATTATAGGCAATTGTATGGTCTTAAACAATGAGAAAAACTCATACCGTTGATAGGCTATAAAAGACCCCGTTTTTTGTTAAAAAAAAAATACGTCCTAAGATGGTGATATTGTCAGATTCAGAGAAATATTTGTTTAAATCAGAAAATTTCCTTGCAAAGTTTTATTTTCCTCTAACAAGTTATGTAAGTCTACGTTTGCTTTTATTCAATGAAACAAAGTTGGATTTTATTTTTTAATCTGTCATTAAATTTAGGATCGATAATAGAATGTTTTTTTTTTATACTTATGCACACATAAACAAACTATATCGTTTGTCGTTTCAAATATTCACATCTGATTCATTGTTTCTAATTTTGTTAATTTGGTCATACAGCTCTTCAACTGTTTCGTTTCTTATACATCATTGGCTTTCAAATATTCGACTTTGATCGTTCCTGACGGAGGATAATCCAGAAAAGCGCTTCGGATGCTTATAAAGAGTTGTTTTCATTTTTTGGAGCTGAATCTCCTTACCCTTTTGGAGCTCTCAGATCAGTCCCGGTTGTTGGTGTAGTACGTTTTGCTCAGTTTTCGTTGTTGTGTTTTGTAGACTGTCGTTTGTCATGGCGGAGGTAACACGATGTAGTAACTCTAAATAAATTAAATAGGATTATAAATGCGAAACGACCCATAAAAGTCCAAATAACGTAGATTTAAGCAACGCTTAAGCAATATACGGCCTTCAACAATGCGCAAAATTAAACCTGCAGTCACATATAAGAGACCATGATATAACAAAATGTAAAACAGCATAAACAAAAACCTACGGCCTGATTTATGACAAAACAATACACGAAAATTAATATGACAGACAGCAACGAACATCAACAACTACATTACATGCTCTTGACTTGTATAGAATAAGGGGTTAAACACAGTATTGGGCGTTAAACCTTCCCCAAACAAGGGACAGTGGGTAAACAGCTCAACGTATTAACGAACTGTTAAAATCAGATTGAAATGGCTGATAATTTTCCCTTTTCCCTTTTCAAGTGACAACATTTCATTAATATGCTTTTTTTTTTATTTTATATGTGTAACTGGTATTTATTTAGCAACTGAAGAACATTTATGTGTATATGATCGCCTGATATATAATAATGTACTTACATCCGCTTTATGAAGTTAAGAACTCCGTCTCGTACTCTAGGACTTTTGCATATTTGAAGAGGGGTTTTCCCTGTATTATCTTTGATTGTAGTGTCTGCATCGTTGTCAATTAACAAACAGGCGATTTTCACCCGTTCGCTCTCGTCATTTGGTCGACTCAACATTAATCCTAACAGCTTCACAACAAAAATGTTAAGTATATTAAAATTTACGATCAAGGTATAATTATACCTTTATGCCAATTATTGATTGATTGATTGTTGTTTGCTTTACGCCGCATTAGCACAGAAAGGCTATATCGCGGCGAGAGCTAATTCGAATATTATAACAATTTAAGGTATATTTTTAAAATCAGACAAAAGGTCTTTCAATAAACTAAAATTCTAGACTAAAGCAAATTGATTATTTACAAATAAAAATCAACACTAAGATAACGTGATAAAAATTAAAATCGTTTTTAAATATAACAACATTTTTATATTTAATAATATATTCCAATTTCTTTTAAGAATGAAACAATATTTGTAAATGGAATATTATTAAATAAATCATACATATTATTGACATTGAAATGCTTCTTCCGAATATCAGCAAAGTCAAAACAATTGATTAAAACATGTTTAATAGTATACTTGCAGTTACAAGGTATACATTGTGGTTCTACTTCATTTTTTAAAAGATATTCGTGTGTTATTCTAGTATGACCAATACGACATCTAGAAATAACACACTGATCTTTTCTGCACATAAAATTATTGAAAGGTTTACATAAATTAGGTTTAATTTCATGTAATTTATTACCATCTTTTTTACTCCATTCATTTTTCAATATATTAAAAACATATTCTCTAATATTAGATTTAAAATCGGTATATGGTATATCACAGTTAGATAAAGGGTCACCCAGGGCATTCTTTGCCTCAAGGTCTACAGCTGTGTTTCCAAGGATTCCAACATGACTCGGCACCCATAGAAATAATATTTCTTTAAGAAGAATTTTTAAATTCCTCATTACATATAAAATTTTGAGAATTGTTGGGTTTTTAATTTTAGTATTTTGTATAGCTTGTAAGCATGAAAGTGAATCAGAACATATAATAAATTTGGATTTATCTGAAGAAGCAATAAATTTCAAAGCCAAAATTATTGCTTCTGCTTCAGCAGTAAAGATCGATGCTTCAGATGGCAAACGGAGAGTTGCAGCTCTGTCCCTGAAGACAGCAGCAGATGCAACTCTGTCACCATCTTTTGATCCATCAGTATAGACAGTTGAAAAATCTGAATAATTGGCTTTGATTTCAGCATAGTGTTGCTGAATTAAAAGAGGATTTGTTTTATTTTTATTGTGTTCACGGAGATCAAATATCATTTTTGGTTTGGGAAGTTCCCATGGAGGACATTTGCAAGTTTCAACTTGAGCAACAGATTTTAGATCAAAAGAAGCTAAATGTGATTTTAAACGTATACCTAACGGAATTTTATTTTCATGTTTTGCAAAAATATCTTCATAAATTGGATTAAAAACACAGCTGTAGGCAGGATTATCTGAGTAGGCTTTTAGTTTGACAGCATATTGAAGTCCAAGCTTCAAACGTCTGTTAGAGAGTGAGTGCTCATCAGCCTCTACATACAGACTCTCAACTGGTGAGGTTTTAAATGCGCCAAGACAGAGACGCAAACCCTGATGATACACAGCATCGAGAATCTGTATGTAGGACTTCCTTGCAGAGCCATACACTATAGAGCCATAATCTAGTTTAGATCTAACTAGAGATCTATATAAATTAAGTAAAATGTTGCGATCAGCACCCCAGTCGGTGCTGCCGACAACTTTTAAAATATCTAATGCTTTTAAACATTTCGATTTTAACATTTTGATATGGGGTAGAAAGGTTAACTTTTTATCGAAAATTAACCCAAGAAATTTGGTTTCATCAACCATTTTAATTGGGTTGCCGTACAAAGTGAGTTCTGGATCAAGATGCAATTGCCTTTTGTTACAAAAATGCATCCCGACCGTTTTTGAAGTGGAAAATTTAAACCCATTTTCCGAGGCCCATTTTTCAATTCTTCCAAGACATAACTGTAATTGTCTTTCTATGTTATTCATATTTTTGCCTCTATAACATATTAAAAAGTCATCAACATACAATGAACCTTCAATATTACTTTTTAAAACTTCAACAAGGCTGTTGATTTTAAGACTAAATAATGTAATAGATAAAATACTGCCCTGAGGGACACCCATCTCTTGATCATACAGATCAGTATGCCAATTATGAAGGAATTGATAATGTTAAAGTATGAAAAAGAATGTCCGCTCATTTTTAACCTCTAAATAAACAGATTACATTTTGCGAATGTGGTTTTACTTTCTCTCTTTACTTCTACAAATTGTGATATTTAATGCTAACAGCTGTATGTTGGTAGAATGCTACGTTTGGCGTCGAAAAATTAAAGATGAAATATGTCCTGTAGCACATAAGAAAGCAGTATTCCCCTCAATCATTTTTTTGCTTGCTTTTACTTAGGATACGTTGTCAAATGACAGCGTTATTTTTTTTTGTGCCAAAGGAATTTTAGGAGTAATCTATGCAAATGATTCCGATGATCAGCAATACAGTTTCCAGTGCTCATGAGCTCCGTATTTTTGGCCTTTCAATTATTTTGATTCGATCGTAACTGTTGAGTCTTAGGAAGACGAACTGCACGTTTGTCCTATCAAATTTCACTCTTGGTATCTTTGTGATTTTGTACACCACGGGGCTGATTCCAGTACTGGTGGAATAACAGTTGTTGGTGCTTGTGTGTTGACATATAACATCACCGATACCATCAATATCGCTATCTGTACTGTATATGGGATGTTAAATTATTCGAACATTCGGCATATATGACCCCTCCCATACTGGGAACTCTTGGTTTTCAATACTAGTACTTGAAGTTTAATAAATGAAAAGTAATACATTGATATAATGTACTAAGCGTCAAAGAAAACAAATAACAGAAACACCAAACTCCCAGGTACATTCAATAAGGAAAAAGTTCATTCAAACTAACAAAAACAAACGTTACACTTGATCAACCAATCATCATCAACAATATCTTTAAAACATTTGCTTTCAAATAAAATTAACAAAAAAAAAGAGATATCTTACACCTGGGAGATTTTGTTGCTCAACACCAAGCGTGACATGTAAAGGTGTATGCCCAGTATTACTCTTTGTATTGACATCGGCATCTGGAAAAAAAAGTCTGATAAGTTTATACGAAAACAGGTTCAAAAGACTATGACATGTATGAGAGGCGGTATATTGTAAGAAGTTAGTCTGATCTGATATCGCGTTGTGAGCGGTTTTTATTTACTACAGTATTGATGGAGATATTTCCCAATAAAATCTGAGATAATTGTGTTTTTATGCTTCGTGCCAATTGTTCATTTGTTACTTGAAAGGAGGAGGGAAATAAAGGGGGCCTTGAAAATTTTTGAAAATGGAAAGGGGGGTTTCCAATTTTTTAATACTTCTAAGGCGGGCATCGAAATTTGTTAACAAGATTTCAGCAATTCTGTATTTTAAACGTGCAAAACTTATCGCAAATTTGATGAATACATTAAATCAGTATCTGATAGACTGTTTATTCAGTAGGGGTGTCTAAGACTTGATTCATTTCTATCTATGTTGTGTCATCATTTCTGGCTTCAACTTTATACTTTTTTGGCTTTCTAACTATTTTGATCTTAGCGTCACTGATGAGTCTTATGTAGACGAAACGCGCGTCCGGCGTATCAAATTATATGCCTGGTACCTTTGATAACTATATTCAAACTTCATTTCAATATTTGGTTGATGTAAGTTAATACCTTCTTCTGTTTGTTTGTTAGACATAAAGAACGACACTATCAGATATTGGTGGTGTGCTGTCTTAGTGTTTGCAGGTTTTTTGAAGCTTTTCTAACTATACTCTCTTTCATGTAATAAAACACTTATAATCTTGATAGCTGTTTCCTTATATAATTATTTTTAAAACTTATGATTGAGCAAATATATATTCATATCAATGGTATAAGATAAAATCTTAGAGTCAAGCGTTGCATTTTCAACGTTTTTTCCTAATTTTCCTTTATGACCTGGAGATGCGTAATCAGGGGACCTACAACCAAAGCTTCCCCCTGCAATAAAACAAATGTAACATTTTGGCACGAAAGGACATATCTTTTTTTGCCTCTTTCCACTCGGCTCAATTCTTAATATCCCAAATTCTAAGTTTCATCAAGTTCTTCCAGGAGAGAAATTTTTAGCTGAAGCTAAAATGGAATTGAGGTGTTCAATGAGACCATAACCGGCATATCCAAAAAAATTGTCCTGAATAATAATAATAATAATAATTGTATGCATTTATATTTCATCGTTAAATATGTTTTGATGGGAAGTTGTCATAATTGCACTCATACCAATTATCCCAAGGGTTGACGTGAATATATATGACTGGTCATCATTTGTCCTTTTTCGATTGGGAGTATTATGATTGTTAAGTTGGTGTGTCCGTTTTGCAATGTGTAAATTCACAGGCATGCCCAATCAGAATGAGGACATTAAATCTGATTCCTCGTATAGTGAGTGGCATGCTCCCCTCTCTACACTGTAAGAACAATTAAAACACCTTTTTGAGGGGGTCCGTTAATGGCCTTTTGGGAGGCTAAATGTATGTCCCTATCCAATATAAAATCATTTTCTAGTGACATTCTAAATTTCAAGTCCTTCATTCTGGTCGACCACCTTTTACAGATCCTTCCTCGATAGTGTCAATTTTTAATTTGTTCATGCCATGAACATTCAAGCAATATGTGCCACTGGAATCAAGCGAACAAGCAATCAGTCGAAGCATTCATATCATATCAAATTTTCCAGGTGTATGCACTGTTTAGTTAAAGAGAGAGAAAGAGACAAAAAGAAAAAGAGAGAAGATAGCAAGGGGTCAATAGAAAAGCATGCCCAATATTAACTCACAACACCATGTCCAAAAATAAAAGCGACGATTGGACAAACAACATAAAACTAACCATACGAAAACCGGGCATGAAGTCAAGTTATCCGGATAAGCTTTGCATCATATCATTTTCAGTTGCATATTAAAAAAAGTTATTTAAGAAAGTATTAGGTCGACAGAGGTTTGGTGATGTTCTAATCTCGTAAATCGATTTAGAAGAGACCAATCAATTTTTCACAAAAAATGAAGGAATCACATTATCTCCAAAAGGAGAGAGACCGGATGTATCACCATGGTAATCGTCTACTGCTATGCATGCATCACCCGCCATGCGAATTAAAACTTAATCAGCATTTTACAATCAGCAATAGGACACAATAGGCTGACGTACAGATCATACGACTATACGGGTATCTAAAAAGATCACTTTCTTTTCAATTTTTCAATCTCTTGCATGAATTAAGAATACTATAATTCGTGTTATACTATTAAGCGAAACAAGAAATTAAAACACCGTTCAACAGGAGAATACCCATTTCTTTCCTTAAAGACTCGTGGGAACAACGATTTCCATAATGAAACATTTAAGTACCGAACAAAAAAATCACATCAACATCAGTAGAGAAAGAGCCTTAATTCCCGCGTCAGTCAAGGAATAGGGTACAGATATCAACCAAATGTAAAAGTCCTTTTAAGGTATATTCGATAATGTATTTGTCAGTGCAGACCATAAGAGCGCACTTACCGTTTTCGATTAGCAGCTCAGCCATTTCAAAATATGTTTCATGACATGCAACGTGAAGAGGAGTTAATCCTTCATCATTCTTCAGATTAATGTCTGTGTCACCCTTGAAGAATATAAAAATGCTTTGTACAAATGATACACATTTACTACAGAACCACTAGAAAACATCCGCGATATTGACCGTGGTTCCTTGATGGAATTAAAATACCTACGCCTTATTTTTAGCCTATATTTTTAGTATTCGTATAGCCATCTGATAAAGTAATGTTGATTATAAGGTGCACAGTTGTCTCTGCTTTTAAAATCTTTCTGTTTGATCCCGTCCTGGTTTTCTTAATACAACCGTTAACTACATGTGACATATTCTATTGGTATTGGTATCGGATTCGACCCGGAACTTGTTACTTATTGGTAATATTAGTTATGTGGAAAACAAAAAGGCCTGGAATGGTGTGATTTTTAATCAACACCATATGTTAGTTATATATAAGTTTAATTCTTGGATGCGTTGTGTTTACGTTATGTTAGATAATATATCGTACTGCATTATTCAAGTAGCATAGATAATGACAGTAACTACAACAGAAACATCTATTTTCTATTATTATGCTTCACGTTAAAATACAAGATTTTGATTGGCTAATACAAGGGAGACAATTTACTCTCTCCCTTGGCTCAGCGGGAGACAATGTCTTGAATATCACCCTCTCGTGCAGACCAATCAAAAATCAATATTGAATTGACTTTACATCGATAAATAAAAGACAATCCTCATGTTCTACGTTTTGACCTCAGAACGTTTTCATTGACTGTCAAAATTAAAAATCATTTTGCTTCACTTTTGTTGTTTTTCTAATAACTGTGACGTTGTTATGTACTTTAAATTAAAAATTTTACAGTAAAATACAATAGTGATAGAACATTCAGTATAATAAATTAAATAACACATAGTTGAGAGGGTGATAGAGAGGTTGGTACCCCTGGAAAAAACATTGTCAACCCCGGCTTTGCCTCACTTAACAATGCTCTCTCGGGGTAACAATCTGCTCTATCAATGTCTCATCTATGTATTATTTATATATAACTAGTAATCTCCGTCATTGATCCTTAGTATAAGCTTTTGAAAAACATAACCTTGGTTAAAAGTTTTTCTGCAACATCTTGATGATCATTGATAGCAGCAACATGCAGGGCCAAAAATTTATCTTTTTTCGTTGTTTTAGACAGCTCTTGGGATTTTTCTAGCAGTTTTTCTGTCGCACTTCAAGATAGAATTTTGTAAAAAACAGATAATCTACTTAATTTCTTTTTTGCAGTTGTTTTTAGTACAAAAAGGGTAAATAAGACCCCCTTTCTGACATAATCAGCTGATATGTTTATATGAATGTTGACTTTAATAAAATTGAGAATTGAAATGGGGAATGTGTCAAAGAGACAACAACCCGACCAAACAGCAGAAAACAGTCGACGGCCACCAATTGGTCTTCAACACAGCGAGAAAATCCCGCACCCGGAGGCGGGCTTCAGCTGGCCTCTAAACAATATGTGTACTAGTTCAATGAAAATGAACGTCACACTAAACTCCAAAACATATAAATGAGCTAAAATTAAAAAAACATACAAGACTTAGAAAGGCCAGAGGCTCCTGACTTGGGACAGGCGCAAAAATGCGGCGGAGTTAAACATGTTTTGTGAGATGTCAACCCTCCCCTATACCTCTAGCTATGTAGAATAAAACAAACACAGAGTAATACGCACAGTAAAACTCAGTTCAAAAGAAGTCCGAGTCCGATGTCAGAATAGGTAACTTAAGAAACTGAGCAAAATAACAATGATACATAAATTAACAAGGGACTACAGCAGTTACTGACATGCCAGCTCCAGACCTCGATTAAACTGATTGAAAGATTATGTCTTCATCATATGAAAATCAAGCACAATCCCTCCCGTTAGAGGTTTAGTATCATACCATCATAAAATATATGAGAAGAACATAACCCGTATCATGCCAACAACTGATTTTAGAATAAATGTGTTTATTTCCGATGCAAAAAGACCCAAAGACATACTTGATTACCAGTTCATGTACTGAAAACGCAAATATGTTCAATTAGGACGAATACAAACTGAAACGAAAGTTTTATTCACACAATCATAAATATCTGTAGAATAGCCATGTTCGTCTATCTTTACATTTTCGTGAGGGATATAAGTTTATAGCACATTTACATCATTTTATGAAACTTGACATTGCAAACAATATTTATTATACTTAAAATTCCAGTACTGAAGAACTGGCTCCTGTGATGATGACATTTCGTTTGTCTGGTAATCAACCAACAGCGACACAGTGATTATTTATGCCGTATTATTTCAGAATCTTTTACTACTTAATAATTGCTAAAGCTTCTGTTGTCGTACTTACAAATATTTGTTTATGCACAAATAAGTTATTGAGTTTCCCACTCACATTCAATTGAACTGAGCGATTAGTTTAAGTTTTCAAATCTTGCATTTAAAGTATTATCAGGAGGTTTAATTTTTAAACACCGTAGTACCAGTTAATGATGATACTATACATTCAAGAACATACTTATCGTTTCCTTGAATGCAGCAAAAATTAGTAGGTTAAAATCTTTGTTGTTACGAAGTGTCAGATTGATTGATGGAATAGCAAGTAATAATTCTACTGCATTGTCGTTTCCTGCTGCAATTGCATCATGCAATGGTGTGTCACCTTTGACATCCTAAATGTCAAATAACAAAATTATGGTACGTCTTCACTTAAAAAAACACATGTAATTACTATATTTATGCTGATAATGTATTGTTAATTTATCATTTTTACTGTAGAAATACCAAAATCGAAATTTTACAATTGTTTAGGACTGTTTGGTGTTTTTTTTTTTATAGAAATTGTGGATCCACAATGCTCTCCATCTTCGAACATGAAAGAAGAAATGAGTTTACAAGGATTTTAATTTGCTATAAAATTTAGGACAAAATTATTTAAACAAAAATTACAAATATAATATCGGTGGGCGTAAAACAGAAAACAGCCGTTAAAGTATAGCAAAAACTGTATTTCAACTTTGCTCAAAAAGTGCTACTACTAAATTTCTTAGTTAAGCATATTGCGAAAATAGCATGTTTTTGTGTGGCGTTGAGATGTCTCAATAAAGAATAGACAAAATATCATTTTCCTCAATTTTAAAAAAGACCGACAGGAATTTACGTCTAATCAATATTCTTGTGAATCCAACAAATTAAATTCACATAACTCTGTAATCAAATGGAATATTTTCCAAAGACAATATAGAGCAGGTTTTTTTTTTTTTGGGGGGGGGGGGGGGGGGGGGCCGGACGGTAACTTTTCACGGATATGTCGATGTAATACAGTTCTATGCAAAGCACAAAAATGTCATCATTCACCTCAAAAGCTAACCGAACCTTCAAACAGACGGGATATAGTCACGATAATGTTGTCAGGACATTAAAGATGGCATATTTTGGAATTAATATTAATTCACTCATTGGGTCTTTGCATCGGAAATAAACACATGTATTCTAAAACCAGCATTATATGGGTTATACATTTCCCAATGTATTCGATATTCAAGAGCTTGCAGCTCCTACTCAGACTTTGTAAAACGTCACCAGTGTCTGAGCAGAAATTTGACGAACCAAGGGTATGTCAGAAAACGTCTCATCCTTTTTCTAAAAAAAGTTCATCGGAAGGTACCAAGACCTTGTTGATAAATATTCCGTATCAACTTCACAAATAATAAATGATGGTCTTGATGTATAGATTCTGCGTACTGACGTTGCTTATCATCTTAATAACGTGTTATATTGTTCTTTTAATTGTCTTTGTTCTATCATTAATATTACTTTTAATGTTTGGTCTGTTTTCTTTGATATCCATTTGACATGGCTCGGTACTTACACATCCTGTCAATGTGTTTGTATTATCTTTGATTTTTGCTGGTGTGTTTTGTACGTGTTACTTTATGTGTTTCTTTAATACATATGACGTGGCTCTGTACTTTTAAAGATCCCACCATTTTGTTATTGTTCTATTATAATACCATTATGTTATTGTTCTATTATAATTTTGAAAATACTTTGAGCGACACAATTAATTTACTCGCGTAGTGCTATTAACCATATGTGGATTCTTAAAAATTCTTAAGAACTTCTGGATAATTTTAAATCTTGGTCTTTTTCTGAAATTAGTTCTAACAAAAAACTTTTGATTTTTCAACCCTGTATTCCACCATTCCCCATGTGAAATTATAATTTTGAAAATACTTTGAATGACAAAATTATTTTATATTTCTTACTGTGTGACGTTTACATTTTCTGGCGTCAAACACGCGAGTCTACACTAAGAGTAGATGTACATCGAATGTAGTCAGAGGACTTTAGATATTTCAATCCTTTATGGTTTCATTTACAATACATATATAAGTAAGCAATGAATGTGGTTGTTAAATGAGATAGATGTTTTTTGTGCTTCTTTGTTAAATGTTTGTTTGTTTTGAGATTGTGACACAGTGATGACTGCTGCACCCATATTTTGACAATGTTACCTATAATGTCTGTTTTGTTTACGCATCGTTGTAAATATGATGGAATTTGATGCGACTGTCATACAAGTGAGAGGTTTAGCGCTATAAAACCAGGTTCAATCCACCAGTTTCTACATTTGAAAATGCCTGTACCAAGTCAGGAATATGACAGTTGTTGTCCATTCGTTTGATGTGTTTTATCATTTGATTTTGCCATTTGATTAGGGACTTTCCGTTTTGAATTTTCCTCGGAGTTCATTATCTTTGTGAATTTTTTTTTTTATGATACAGGTTATGTTCTTTTCGTATATTTTATGATGGTATTATATTAAATCCTTAACGGGAGGGATTGTGCTTGATCTTCATATGGTGAAGACATACTCTTTTAATCAGTTATATTGAGGTCTGGATCTGGCATGTCAGTAACTGCTAGTCGTCCTTTGTTAATTTATGTATCATTGTCATTTTGCTTAGTTTCTTCTATTTCCTATTCTGACATCGGACTCGGACTTCTGAG